TACCGTACAGCTTGTACTTTGTCTGAAGTTTGTGCATTGCACTGTAACCGCTGTATAGGCCTATTTTGCTGTGAGTATTAATTAAACGCGACTGAATGAAAATGAAACGCTCTAAATCCCAAGAAAAGATGCAGTCCTGAAAGACAGCTCTGTTATCTTTTACTAGATTGTATGAAATGACCTTGGACATAAACTACATCAGTAGTATATTTTGAGCTCCACACTGGGTTTAACACATGCCAAATGTCAACCATGCCTGTTTTGGTTGCCCACTGGTGAGATTTGTACATTAGATGTTTTAAAAGAGGCAAGGGATAGAGTGAGATAATAATAAATAAATAAACAAATGCATAGTTTGAACTTTATTGATGCCATATTTGACAAATTCGAAACCAGGAATCTCTGCTTTCTGCTTCCAACGCAGGCTGGCGACCCCTAGAGGATATAGCTAAAAGAAGAAAAATAATGACTGCAGAATTGTTCCTGTCTGTAGTGGCAGTTAATGCTGTACATTCAATTATTCACCACTAGATGTCAGCAATGTCTGTTAAATAAACCAGTAAGCGTATTTCAGATATAAAACAACGTTCTTAACGTTGTTATTTATTCATTTATAACAAGGGTAAAAAATGCGTTCTAATCAAATACTATGATGTAAAAGTGAAAAACTACAAAGAGATGCAACACTCGCAGTAATATAAATAGAATAAACTGAAAACAATGTATTGTATTACCAACGAATTCTATAGAGCGATTTGTAACAAAGTTCAACAAAACAAAAATTGGACATTATATATTATGTGGATTCAATACAAATTATATACAGCCAGCCAACCTGCTACATTTTTACTCACCACAATAACAAAAAAGACATTTGGTTAAATGAATGCAGTACTAAAGAAAGCAAATATATACATATCTATATATATTTTTAAACTTGTGCTGTGATAATTTCAAAACAATAGAAAGTTTTGTATCGTCTAGGCTTCCCGAAGGATATCGTTTAAGTACGAACACTGCGCGTCAACGTCGCTAATGTTAATATTAATTGCGATAAGAGACGAACCTTAAATATCAAAATTTACGTACGAACACTGCGCGTCAATGTTAACGTCGCTAATGTTAATATTAATTGCGCAATTTTAGAAAGTATTGCATGCATTGTTCGACGAGGAAAGATGTGTACAGGCGACAAAAACATACCCCTCCCCACCCCCATCCCAAAAAACAAGGGTTTTAAAAGCCAGTAAAAAGTCGTATATGTATAAAATGGGAAATAAGAATTAATTATTGCCATGGCAACTGTCCTCAAAACATTATCAGAGTCCATTCTGCTGCTCATGCGTACCCCAGGACAGGGCTTTAAACGAACAAACTTTAAACTTTTTTTTTTTTTAAACTCTGACTACGTAACAAAATGTGATGTCAACGTCTAACAAGAGATATCGGACCTCAATAGGGCAAAACAACACACGCATGCTCACTTCTGATACTTCTTCGCACTAAAAATTTCAGCAAAAAAAAGAAAGAAGTATTTTCAACTTTGAGGTGTCCATTAATGTGTTCACTATGGGGGGAAATGTCCGGTGAATGAAGAATGTGGCGAAACCACAAAAGCGAATAAAGAAATTCAACATATAATTACAAATGTCTGGCTTTCCCTTGGGTTAAAATGTCTACAAAATACTTTCTTTTTTTTTAGCCAATGTGGCTAGAATAAAAATGTTCAGACTAAGACTAAAACACACACACACACACACACCGGACTGACGGAGAGGTCAGGTGACTAAAAGTTCTCTCTTATAAGTAAAGTTTGACAGTTGGACTCTCACAGACGGTGCTAGAGGATCTGAAAAGAGTACCACCAAGCAGTGAGGACGGTCCTAGCGGGCTCTCTCTCTTTCTGTCTTTGCTCTTTGTTTCTGCGGGTAAGTTGACATTTCACATTTCTTTGACATTTTTCATTTTTTTTGGGGACCGAAAAACTGGATAAAAAGTGGCTGACTTCTCTTTGTGGTTCGGTTATTAGAGTTCGGGGCGTCTGTATGGAGAGTTAACGAACTTTCCAGAAGTCATTAAAACTTTTTTTTCCTAGTCATGAAAATAGCGTAAAGCTGTTCTTCAGGAAAAAAAAAACTTTTTTGTTTGTTGTTTCGGCTTATAAAATTGGTTAGTTAGTTTCCTGTCCATTCCATAAAATGAATGGTGACATCAATAGAGTCGGGTTATCTCTCTCTCTCTCTCTCTCTCTATGTCTCTATGTCTCTTTCTCTCTCTGTTTTTATCTGTAAAATGAAAAACAAAAGAAAGAAAACAGTTTAATTGCAATTATCATAAATATCAATAATGAATATATATATACATCTCTATTTTTAACATTATGGTTATATCTTCATAAATATTGAATATGAAATATATTTTTTTATTGTAAATTAATTGTAAAATTAAGAATTACAAATGGCATTCGTAACAGACTTTAAATGTGATTTTATATGTTACAGGCAATAGTTCTTCAAACTGTAAGTCACTTTGGATAAAATCGTCTGCTAAATGTAATTGTTGATATTTGACAAAGATTGTCAGTTCCACCACAACTGATTCACTCGATTACACAGTAGAAAATTATCTTATTTACTATAATCACACATGATAGAATTCACTCGATTCGATCACAGTAGAAAATTATCTTATTTACTATATTTAATTTAAGGTTTTTTCACAGCTTTTTTTCAACTCTTGAATATCTTTGTTATTGGCTATTTCATGCAACATTTAATCAAACGTAGGCATATTAGCTTTTTCACAGCTACATTGCAATATTCTGCTTTCCCTTTCCTTATTTGGACTTGCCTTGGTTATGTAACAGATAACTTTGAGCCGCTAATTTGATGCTATCTAAATATCAATCTGTAACCCTACAACACTGAGTGATCAGACATGCTGTGGTACCCCATGGTGATAAAACTTGTAATAATAAATGAATGTACTATCCATGACCACTTGTGGAGCTGTGGAGTGTAAATATTGTAAAAAAACAAATCTGAAAGCTGTGTTAAGGGCAGAAAGCCAAAGTTACAAAATAAAACTACCGTATTTTCCTGACTAAAAGTCACACTTTTTTTCATCCTTTGGCTGGGTTTTGCGACTTATACTCAGGTGCGACTTATATTTTAAAATATATAATTTGAAATGTTTGTTATTTTCACACTGACAGCTGCGAAAGGGCACTTTAGGCTTGCATACTAGTATCTGCTAATACAGTACCACTGAAAATGTACATGTTTGTTATTTTCACACTGACAGCCGCTAGGGGGCACTCTAGCTGGCTGGTGCGATTTATAGTTTGGAGTGACTTATATATGTATTTTTCTTCTTTATCATGTATTTTGTCTGGTACGACTTATGCTCCAGAGTGACTTATAGTCCAGAAAATACGGTATATAATAACTAAAAAAAAACGGAATTCAGAATAAAAGCCAAAGGCTATCAAAGAGTGAATCCTTTGTGCAAACAAAGGATTGAATTTTTAGAACAGGATTGCTACGTGCAACTCTAAACACAGTTCTGTGTTTACACTTTGCTTCCTGTTTGTAAAATAAAACAAATACATTGGTATTTGTTTACAGAGCACTGAATGGCATAGGGCCAAAATAAATGTCTGATCTGTTGAGCACAAGGGATTACTTGGAACACTAAGTTCACATGTGTGACTTAACATGTGGAAGCCTTCAGATCTTTTTTTTCATCCAATTGTAAGCTAGATACATTTTTAAATAATACTTTTCTAGACTGAGGTACAAAAGAGGTTTTCAACATTTTCTTATGTGCATGCTTCTATGTACATGACAATTTTAGCGATAGACTATATGCTAGATACTATATCGGGGTCACCAATGTGGTGCCTGGGGGCACCTGGATGGGTGGGCACCTTAGGTGTGGACTACCTAAGGTAGTGGGATATGTTCTAAAGATAAAACTCGTCAACAAGAGGGTCAAAAATTGTACTGTTACTGTGCTTTTTCGTTTAGTTCCACTTGCAATGATATTCAAATGGGTCCAATGATGATGGTAAGAAGAGTGTCTACTATTGTATGTCCCAGAACTAATTATTATTACATTGTTCAGGAAGTCTGTATCAAACAAGTAGCCCTTGAAGTAGCTCTCAGTTTCAAAAAGGTTGGTGATCCCTGTGTACTATATAAATAAAACTCTAGTTGTATGTACTGTAATTTGATCAAATTTGATTTCATGCGTATCTTTGTTACTAGCTGTGATTTGAGAATCCAATAATTCCAATACCTTTTTTCATTCTAGAAGATGTAATAATTCAGAGAATGCAATGTTGTTGCAATAGATAGATGATTTCGAGACATAGAGTCAGAGGTGGGAAGTAACTATTTACATTTACTCAAGTTGCTGTAATTGAGTAGTTCTTGTGAGTAATTTGTCATTTTTTAAGTGGTTTCGGGCATTGGTAATTTTACTTTTACTTAAGTACATTTTGACTCAAGTATTTTACTTTGCTACATTGGAAAATAACCTGTTACTGAGAAAAAAAATAAAAGCGGGGAAAATCAATATGCGTTAACTGGGTTAGGACAATTTCGTGGGCGTGCACGCACGAATTTCCTACTGTTTTAATCTAACTAGATAACTTTGAATAACAAAGGGACAAGCTGTGTCATTGGATGATGAAAATGGAGGTTGCAAATTGCCGAGCAGAGAGCTCCCATGGAGCAGATTACTCAGAAAGAGAAATAAATCCTTGGCCATATCTCAGCCAGCTCTTTGTTTTCAAATTAACGAGGCAATAACTGTATCATGCAGTGCAAAATGTGCCTGCTGTAGTGGCCTAAATTTGCAGTATAAAAACAACTAGTTGCAGATTGGATGTATGACTCATCTGTTTTTGTATCAAGTCATTTAAAGTAACTAAGTAACTTTTACTCAAAGTAAGTGTTAAATAGCAAAAAGTAGTTTTTTCTTTTACTCGAGTAGAGTTGAAGCAAAGATACTTTTACCTAGTCACATTTTTTAGTAGTTTCTCCACCTCTGCAAAAGGTTCCTGTGGATAATCCTAAAATATCTATGTTTAAATAAAAGATGCAACGTTAAACAAGTTGTGTTTCAGAGATTAACATGCTTACTAGGCAAAGTTGTACGGCTTCACTGGCTGTCTCCAATGTTGTACCAATGTCAAGCACATCATACTGTTTACATCAGGGGTCACCAACCTTTTTAAAACCGAGGGCTACTTTAGTAGTGCTGTAGTAACACTAAGTGCTACTTGTTTGATATAAACCAAAAACGTACTGATAACTATTTCTTTTAATTAACGATGTTTTGTCAAATTGTGGGACATACAATAGTGTCCCAGAACTCACTATCGCCATTGTACCCATTTGAACATCATTGCAAGTGGAACTGATTCAAGTACCGAGCACAGTAAAAGTACAGTTTTTGACGCTCTTGTTGACTACCATATTTTTTTGACTAGTTGCACCAGCAAAAAAATGCATAATGAAGAAGAAAAAAAAACATATATAAGTCACGCCGGAGTATAAGTCGCACTAGCGCCCTCTGGCGACTGTCAGTGTGAAAACAACGAACCTCAGTGGTACACGAGTAGCAGATACTGGTACGCCGGAGTATAAGTCGCACTAGCGCCCTCTGGCGACTGTCAGTGTGAAAACAACGAACCTCAGTGGTACACGAGTAGCAGATACTGGTACATAAGTCTAGAGTGCCCTATATATATTTTAATATATAAGTCGCACCTGAGTATTAGTATTAGTTATAAGTCGCAAACCCAGGATGGTAAAAAGGGCGACTTATAGTTCAGAAAATACGATAGTTTTATTTTTAGAACCCACCCAGCGTCGGGCTTACTGAGCAGCTGTGCTTAGCTTTTGGGTTATTCATGATAGCAGTACATTAGTTGCATAAAGTAAAGACCTGGGTTCAATTCCCAGTGGAACCAGATGCTAGGCGCCTGCCAGGTGAAGCCTGTTGCAGCAGATGTGCCGTTAACTCAAGAATTTACCAAATATGGGCTAAATAAAGTTGGCAAAACACAAAAAAGGTTTATAAAATTTTGTGTTAATCTTTGGCTAACTTTTGGCTATTTGGCTAACTTTTAGTTATCATTTGCTTTATTTTAGCTACCACTTAATTTATCTGTAATCATGCAACTATTTTATAAGTATTTTATTACATAATGCTGTCAAGAAACCAAATGTCTGAGGGCATTTAGCCACAATAGTTTTGGTCGTTTTTGTTAAATGCAGCTCAGCAGTTTCCTTTTTTCTTTTTCCCCCACCAGCTAAAACGTCCTGATAATGGGAGATTGGAGTGCTCTGGGTCGTCTACTAGACAAAGTCCAGGCCTACTCTACTGCTGGAGGAAAGGTGTGGTTGTCGGTCCTCTTTATCTTCAGAATCCTAGTCCTTGGTACAGCGGTGGAATCTGCTTGGGGAGATGAACAGTCCGCCTTCAAGTGCAACACGCTGCAACCTGGTTGTGAAAATGTCTGTTATGACAAATCCTTCCCCATCTCCCACGTTCGCCTTTGGGTCCTCCAAATCATCTTCGTGTCCACGCCGACGCTACTGTATCTAGCTCACGTCTTCTACCTGAACAGAAAGGAACAGAAGCTCAACCGAAAGGAGGAGGTGTTGAAAGCCGTGCAAAACGATGGCGGTGACGTGGACGCCCCGCTGAATAAAATTCAGCTAAAAAAGCACAAGTACGGTATTGAAGAGCACGGTAAAGTCAAGATGAAGGGGGCCTTGCTCAGAACCTATATTGTCAGCATCTTCTTTAAGTCCATGTTTGAGGTGGGCTTCCTGCTTATCCAATGGTACATGTATGGTTTCAGCCTTAGCGCCGTCTACACGTGCGAGCGATCCCCGTGCCCACAGAAGGTTGAGTGTTTCCTTTCAAGGCCGACAGAGAAGACCGTGTTCATCATCTTTATGTTGGTTGTATCACTGGTGTCCCTGCTGCTTAACATCATAGAACTTTTCTACGTGTTTTTTAAGAGGATAAAGGATCGGGTGAAAGGCCAACAGCAGTCCAACCTCTACCCCAGTGGAGGAACATTGAGCCCTACCCCGAAAGAAATGTCCACAACTAAGTACGCCTACTACAACGGCTCATCCCCGACTGCGCCGCTTTCCCCCTTGTCCCCTCCAGGCTACAAGCTGGCCACGGGGGAGCGGGTAACTGGTTCGTGTCGCAATTATAACAAGCAGGCTCACGAACAAAACTGGGCGAACTACTCCACAGAGCAGAACCGGCTCAGTCAGACTGGGATAGGAAGCACTATTTCAAATTCTCACGCACAAGCTTTCGACTTCCCCGACGACACCCAAGAGCCCAAGAAACTGTCCTTATCAGGGGCGCATGAGCTTCAACCACTGGCATTGATGGAGGCCAGGCCGTGCAGTCGAACCAGCAGCCGTATGAGTAGCCGAGCCAGGCCAGACGATCTCGACGTGTAGGTTCTTAGACCTCGCACCGCTGGAGAAGCAGGAAACGTTCCACCACACTGTGCTATATTAGAGGTGGCGCTAACCAGAATTACTGTCTTCGTGATAGAGACTGTCGATAACAAACCCTTTACACAACGTCTTTAGCTTGGCTAACCCAGAAATATAATATATGCAACACAAAGTACTTGGTCATGGATTGGTGTATCCTTGGTTGTACAAATGAGGCTAATTTAGTGCAAGCAGAATTTTTCTGCATCTGGAGAAAAATGCGTAAAAAAATGTTCTCTCACTTTACAAATCCGACATGTGTTGGGTCCGATTTCAACAAGGTGGCTCGTAACGTGAACGTGGCCATTTTGAACAGCAGTTGTTCATCAAGGTTCAGTAGAAAACTTTTCATGCTAACGTTTAGTTTGTTTTAATCGTACATATCAGAGAAATGCATCAAAGCTGAATGGGAACCATGCATTGTTTTACCTAAGAGTAACGTGGCCAAAATAGCCAAATTTGCTATGTGACGTCCAAGTTTTCAAAACCGTCTGCTTCCAACTTGTCTGTCCTGATAGCACATATTCAATTTGATTTTCTCTGAAGTGTATGATTTTAGCTTTCAGTTGTTACTGCCCCCTTAAAATTCTGGCTCACTGGAATTTTTTTTAAACGTAAACCTGTGTGTTCTGAATTTACATGCTAACCGAATTAAGTTAACGTAAACCACATTTTAGTCTGTTGCTTAAGAAGATTGCTGTCACTCGTTTCTCACGTGACATGAAGGGAGAATGTGTTTTAAACAGTCGTGCTGAACGTTTACTGTCGGCCCTGTGTCAAACGCCTACTGTACCACTTGGACAAAGAAAGAAAAAAAAACTACATCACAATTAGCCCAAAATTATATGATTTTTTAAAAGTTTATTTTCTTGCATAATTGTCCTGATAAACTTTGAATTTTATGTAATGTCATGTGTAGATTTTTGCTTTTATGTCTGTTTTCAGTATGTGAGTAGCTAAAAGGACTAGGCTTCAACACAGTAGAATGGCTTAGTTGTTGACATTTATTCTACATGTTATTATCCCTTGTCCTTTTTTGGGGGTGCAGTAGGGGGCGGTGTGTCTGCAAAGTGAGCTAAAAAAGTGGGATGTAAAGGATTGTCCCAAATCCGGGAGAAAAAAGAGGAATGAGGAAAGAAAAGAATTGCAGTACCACATTCAGACTGCAGGAGAAGACTCCATAAGTAGCTACATTTTTTGGGGGCGCGGATCACTAACGGCTTACAGGCTTGTCTTAAAGAAGTCGTATATATATTGTTACCTTTTTTTAAAAAAAAAATATTTAATTTGTGATCATCTTTAGAATATCTTGAGCACCATAGAACCTATTACTTGATTTAAAAAAAACATAAATATAAACACAAATGTTGTTACATCCTGACACTTGAAGCTTTACAAATAGACAAGGTTACAGCGACTAGAGGCCTGTGAGTTCCTGAGCCTAATTCAGACAATTTCTCAATCATTCGTGTGGTAACAATTTATATTCCCGATTTTACTGGATACCCACAATTCATCTCATCATTCAGAAAAAAAAAAACGATTACATGTGAATTCAGGGCAAATGTAGGCTTTTTCATTCAGCTTAAACTCCTTGTGCTGTTGTCAACAATATCAGTTAGCAGCACTCTATGAGGTCTTTTGCACTTACTGATGGTCCTTGTGTACATAGTTTGCACATTCTCTGTGTGCCCATGTGCTTTTATGGGGTACTGTGTTAAAACATTAGGTTATATTGGATGTTTTAAATCAGTGGTTCTCAATTATTTTCTGTCATGCCCGCTCTCGGGGACAGAAATGTTTTCGCCCCTCTCTCCCCCTTCCTTGAAGTACTATTGAGAACCAGATAATATGTATTTTCTTATCTGTACAAACCACTTTATGAGTTGCTGCCACCTAGTGACCAGAGGCATCTCACGCCCAACCCCCCTCCCAGCAACTCACTGAGGCCTACCCCACCATTTGTGAAGTACTGCTCTAAATTGATCGTATTAGTATAAGATCGTAAGCAAGATTTTTGCTATCCCTACATGTTATCTCCGTCACCCTGAAAGTTTGGAAAAAGAAAATAAATGTTCGAAAAGAATGTTTATTTAAAATCTTAGAATGACTGAATTGCGGTGTTTTTTTTTTTTTTTTATGTAGGCAAAAGTTTTTAATTTTAGTCTTAGCGTATGTTGTAATTAAGAAGTACTACGTGTAGAGCTTGTACCGTACATGTCGTAAGCTTTGACAAAACTGCTACTAGAACTGGACTAATATTTAGTCAGTCTCACGAAAACTGTTGTGCCGTTGTATTTCCACATCCACAACCCTTCCGATCACTCCCTACCTAAGCATTTTTGTTGGTACTTAAGTAGATGCAGGTCGTGGCAATAGCATTTCTACTGAGCTCTTGGGGGACGGAGATGCGTTTTGATGCACAGCGAGTGTATGAAGTGTTTCCTAATACTTATGTCACTAATTTATTTTCATAACAAATAACAGTGCAAAAAAAAGGTCTAGGTTCTGTGAGGGCAATTGTCGTGCGTTCAGTCCCTATGCATTTTGGTGCCCGCTAGCAAAACTCGAGCTCATGTGTTGTATCTGTGAAATAATATTTTAACCAATAAACATTTTACTTTTAAACCCTAATGATGGATTTCATTTTTTTGTCATTCTTTTTGTCGCTTTGTTTTACGACAACATTTTTGGAAACTAAAAAAAAAAAAAATTTCCAAAGATTAGAGGGCACTGGTATCAAGGTTTTCGAGGGTGATAGGGTTCCCAGTAGGTTCAAATCCCACCTGAGGGTGATGGTGACAGGGTTCCCAGTAGGTTCAAATCCCACCTCCTTCCAATTCCCAGGCTAAACAAGGAGAGACCCACTGGCCAGAAAAGTGTGCCAAATCAGTCAACAGTCTACAGACATGATGACTGCCGATTATGGGAAAAATAGGACTTACAAGTATTAAAGTTCCCCTGCTTATGGGAAGGTCTTACGTAAAACTCCTTGTTTCGGTAAGACGTGTTATCGACACAAGCCGGCTGCTGCAGCCTGCACTGACCTGAATTGTGGCGACAGAGCACAGTTCTAGTTTTTTTTTTTCAGAGTCCTTTTTAAGACCATGTGATTTTTTTTTTTTTTTTACATAGCATTTCTGATTAGCAGAGGACTGGATTAAAAAGGCCTCCTGCAAAAGGGAAGTAGAAGGTAAAAGTGCTGATTCAACTCATTCACTCAAGTAAAAGTAAGACAGTACAGGCTTTAAAATGGGGGTGTCAAACATATGGCCCGCGGGCCTACGTTGGCCCGCTTGGGGGTTCGATCCGGCCCGCTTGGTGGATTTTCGAAAGTAAAAAAAAAAAGCACAAGCAATTCATATTCGTTATGTTTTTCAAATTATATTTCATGAAGTATAACTTTTTTTTAATATACTTCTATATATTTGCATGAAAATAGAGACTGGCTGTATGTGAGCCCCGAAACAAAATGAGTTGGACATCCCTGCACTAAAATGTTCTTAAACAAAAAGTAAAAATGTTTTAAGATCAAGACACAGTTTGTACAAAATAGGTTTAAATGTTTACCTTTTATAATAATAATACCCCGAGTTAAAGTTCAATTTCAGACAAAACATCAAGACTTGACTGATCAGAGGTCATGTGTGAGCATCTGGACAAATGAGTTCTGTCAAGTCTGTCTCCCTTCCACAAGTAGTCTTGTGATCCCTTGTTAATTAGTTAGCTTGTGTCACCCGAATTCAATAACTCCATTATACGAGTGCGTGCAGAGTGGTGCGGATGGAATGAATAAATGACACGTTGCGCAGCACATTGTCTAATACGATAGATTTTCAAGAAGGAAAAAAAAAATGGATTGCTTGAAAGCGGTATAAATTTAATATCTGATAATATTGCCAAGAAAGGTTTTCGCAACAGGGCAGCGGTCCCCAACCTTTTTTGCGCCATACGAGGAACACAGTGCACCGTGCTAACACAACAGGGCAGCGGTCCCAGTATCACCCAGTATCAGCGGACCAGTTTAATGTCTGACAATTTTTTGGTGTGGCGGATAAATACAACTAAACAAAGTGATACGACCGGCATAAAAACGGGTATTTTCTAAATATAATAGTAAACATTAACCATCGCACTTGTCTTTTACTACAGCTTGGTCTCCAAGTGGCAACGACGTTTTGAAGGCTTCATTAGCTCATTAGAGAGCCATTCGACACGTATTACGCAGCGCGGCGGATGGCACGGTGAGTGGGAACGATAAATCCATATTTCAAGTAGGACTCCTGGAATTGTCTGGTTCTCTTACCCTGCGCTAAGAAACTTATTTTGCTAGATAGTTTCAATTTTGGCGGTAATGTAATCAAGTGTGAGTCATAGACAGATGCGACGGAGAGAATCCGCAAATTTTTCAAAATGAAAAAAAAAAATCAATTAGAATCAGATAGTAAATACAACAGAAATAATGTAAGTTTTGCATTCGGTCTGTGCGGCCCGGTACTTATTGACCCGGCCCGGGGGTCGGGCACCACTGCAGTAGGGTACGGTGTGCGATATGTGGCAAGTAGTTAAATATTTGGATGTATAAGAAACGTAAATGTACAGTATAAATAAAGGAATATACAGCACAAATATGCAAGCGCAAGATGGCTGGCGAACTGACCAAAGTTGGCCATGCTAGCATAACATTTCGACGGAACACCCGCGTAAACGCAAAACAGAGGGTAAAGCATTGGTGTGTGTGTGTGTGTCCTGTTTTTTTTAATGCTATTGTACGTATTTATTACGATTACGCATCACTCATATCTATGTATTAGCAACCAAATCATTTAGCAGCCTGTCTGCGCAATTTTACTGACAAATACACTGCCAATGAGGTCACGGTTTGTACCATTACTGATACATGTTCATATCATGATAAAGCACAGAACGCAAACAACAGTATCGGCAGTCTAGGTTACCGCAGTTATGAATCGTCAATAAGCAAACAGAGAATGAACTTGTGTGACCCAACGGAATGCGACGAAACGTGACCGCAATCTGAGGAAAGAATTGGAAATCAGTGTTTACAAAGTTTTTTGCCTACAGTAAATACATGCTAATATTTGACTCAAGCGATGTCTTTGATTGCGGAAGTTTCTTTAGCCTGTCGTATCTAAGGATATAACCCTATCCTCTTTTGTGCGGAGAACAGTGGTGAGACTGCATTTCGGACACCAGGATACACACACGACTTTTATAGGTCCACTATTGAAACTGTCCTGGCTGGAAATATCACAGCCGAGGACGGCAGCTGCGGCGCCCACGAATGGAATTTGTCATGTATATCATTCATCGTTCATCATTCATGGTGTTTACACCTCCTGCTGCGGGAGGAAAAACTCTGGAGACCCTTGTTGACCTCAGCCACCCCAGTCACAGCCCACTGCAACAGGGAGCAGAGAAGAATCCACGCCAAAACTACTTTAACCTATTAGATCAGGTGTGCGCAATAAAGGTGCCATACAAATCCCAAGGTATTAATATTATTATTATTACCAGAGTATCAAGAGTGATGGAAGATCATGAGAAGATAAAGTAACATTTTTAAAAATCTACAGTGTGTAGTAGTGTTCAATCCATCCATTTTCATCCGCTTATCCGTCACCGCCACCCAAATCACATTGCACCGTACCAACCCCTCAAACCTTCCTGCGGGTGGTGAGTCCACTGGAAGGTACCAACCGCCCTAACCAGAATTCGAACTTGCCCAGTAGTTGAACCCTGGGGTTCCACACCTATGACAGAGACATTGCCTCTGGGCCGAAGCACCGCCATGCTGCACAAATCAAATCATATTGTGCTGCCTGCATTTACACCAAATGTCCATATAAAGCAGTGGTTCCCAAACTTTCTCTAATGTACCTCACATTTGGTTCATAAGAACATTTTTGTACAGACCCAAACCAAAAGAGACTCTATTATTTCACGTTTTAAATGAAACTGTTTTTACTGCACCTTAAACGTGTCCATTTTATGCTAGCATCGCAAACTTTGGTCAGCTCGCAGGAGTGAGATTAAGCATCTACAGCATTGGACAATATGCTGCGTTACGTTTCATTCATTATTTCCACTCCCCCCCGCCCCCCGCCCACAATGAAACTGCACCCCCCACTTTGGGAACTGACATATAGTATGTTCAGTTTATATGAGAAATGGCGCCCTCCTATATAGTGGACGTGATAGAACCCTATCAACCCACCAGAACACTCCGTTCTGTAGGAGCAGGCCTTCTTGTGGTTCCACGAATTTCTAAATCTAGATTCGGAGCCAAAGCCTTTTGCTACCAGGCCCCTCTTCTGTGGAACCGCCTGCCAGTGCCAGTCCGGGAGGCAGACACAGTCCTCTCTTTTAAATCTAAATTAAAGACACACCTTTTTAATACAGCCCACGGTAGTCCATAGGTCTGTCTATAGACCTCCGTCACTTCTCTCCTTGCCTTTCTCTATCTCTCTCTCTTCTGCTTCTGTTCCACAACTAACACGTCCGGCCGGGGACCTCACATCCCCGGAGTCTCTGTTCTCTCCCCCACTAGCACCCTGCCTGACCAACCAGGACCACCACGACCAGGACCAAAGCTCCAACGCCCAAGCCTCGACCAGCCATGGACTTATATTGACCTGTTTTTAGATATTTAGACAATAACTGTGTCTATTGTATGTTCTGTATGTTCACTGTATTGTATTGTTCTGCTCCGGTAACATCCACTGCACTGTCTGTCCGTCCAGGGAGTGGATCCCTCACCTGTGGTTCTCCCTAAGGTTTCTACCGTTTTTTCCTCCCTGTTAAAAGGGTTTTCCTTCGGTAGTTTTTCCTTACCCTTGCTGAGGGTCTAAGGACAGAGGATGTTACCAACCCTGTTAAGCCCCGTGAGACAAAACTGATTTGTAAATGTGGGCTATATAAATAAAAATTTGATTGATTGCATTTGAAATGTTAGGGCTTGTGGCGCTTCGGGCCAGAGGCAATGTCTCTGTCATCCCGAAGGTTCACCTTCTGGGCTAGATCGAATCCCGGTTAGGGTGGTTGGTACCTTCCAGTGGACTCACCACTTGCAGGAAGGTTCGGGGGGAGAGGGGGCTTGGGGGTTCGTGGTTGGGACCCGGTAACGGATAAGCGGCTGAAAATGGATGGATGGATGGATGGATGTTAGGGCCTTTCTGCTGTGTGGAGTTACATTAGTCCCACTGGTGTCACCTGGTGCCCTGGGTCAGTTCGTGTGCGTGGTGCTATGTGTTGGAATTCATGTTTTGGAGTTCACACCTGATGAACGAGTGAGTTTTGGTTGTGAATAAACCTGCCGCACCTGAAACTAGTCTTCCCTCGTGCTGCATTTGGGTCCTGCCTGCTTCCTACCATGCCAGCACGTAACAAATAAATATATATGTAACATTTTAAAGGTAGGTAGATCACTTTAGCCTCGTCATTTCTATAGCAGCTCTCAAGCCAAAATGGTGTGGACAACCCTGCAGTAGATTTCTCAGTTTCTCAGAAATAGGTACCGTATTTTCCGGACTATAAGTCGCACCTGGTATAAGTCACAAACCCAGCCAAAGGATGAAAAAAAAAAGTGTGACTAATAGTCCAGAAAATTCGGT